TCTGTTGAGAAATGTACTAATAACAGTGATGAAGATTCCTGATGTATGATTAGTTAATTTTGCACCTTCCAGGATACTCTCCTTGTCTTCTAGCAGCTTGATTGTAATGTCTTGGTATGTGTCTTTTGGTTCTGTCCTGCTTGRAGTTCAGGTCATGAAGCTTGTTGTATCTGTATATTCATGTCTTTCCTCAAATTTGGAAACTTTTTGAATCTTGTTTTTTAAATTAATTTCCCTCTTCTTTTGTTTTTGCTATAAAAATTTCCTTGATGGAATTGTGTTGGTCTATTGGAGGTTGTCCTATAAGTTTCTTTGGTCATATTTACTTTTGACTCTTTTCCCCCCCCTTTTCTTTTTGTTCCTCAGACTCAGTATCAAATGACCCAACTTCAAAGTCCATTTTTTTTTTCCTCTGCCTCTCTGAGTCTGTCATTAAACCCCTTTTCAATTCAGTTATGTATTTCTTCTCAAGATTTTCTGTTATTTTTACAATTCCTCTCATTTTACCGAAATTCTCATTTTATTCATATATTATTTTTCTGATATCTGTTGGCTCACTGTGTTTTTCCTTAGCTCCCTGAGCATATTTAAGATGGTTTYATGAAAACTATTTTTTTCATGCAAATCCAGTACCCATGTTACTTCAGGAATGATATCTGAATATTTATTTTGTTTTATTGGATGGATTTTTCCTTTTTGTTTTTACTAATCAGCTTTCTTTATTTTTGATTTATTGACATCTTAGGGTCTTGCTGACCCTGGAGGGACTGCCCCTTTCCTAGGCAAGTTAATTCCTAKAGATAGCACACAACTCACCTTCCAGAGTTTTTTCATATGCAGACTATACAATTCAGAACCCACACTTTACACCGACAACCTTCACTGACCTCTTACATTTGGAGTAACTATTCCCCTTTCTAATCACCCCAGGACCAGATACCAGCAACCAGGGACAGCCCCTACACTCTAGAGCCTGCTGAAATTAACACAACCACCCAATCCCAGATCTGCATACCCTGATATGCCCCATTCACTACCCCCCCCCCAAAAAAATGCTCTTGCTAATAAATCTTTCTTCTATTCCCTCTCTCCTGATGAACCCTGGTCTTTCCCCTGTAGCCCGGATTAGTGTGACATGACCCTTTATTGTATTTGTAAGTATGATAACCATCTTTTCAAAGGCAATTGTTTCCTGATCTGATGGCCTCACTACACCTGTTCGATAACCAAATCCCAAATTTTGAGAAACCTTATTAAATTTTTGTTGAAAATTGTGTGTCTAACAAAATAACCACCTCCCCCAGTGTTACCCATTGGCTCTGGGCAGGGAAAGACCTTACCTAACCAACCTGGAGTGAAGRTTCATAGTCTCCTCAGGCCTTTCCTGCACATATGTTTTCCATAGGCCTGTGGATTTGTTTTTACTAATTCCCCCATGCACATGGCTACCTTTAAATACCTTAATTTCTCTTAGAGTTTTGGTCCTGCTTCTTCTTGGGCCTTAGTAGTTCTTTACATTCCTTAATCATTAGTCTCCTGCCCCAGCATCTGCTGGTCTGCAATTCCATGATTTTCACAGAACACACCATAGCTCAAAGAAAGAAACTGGGGATTTGGCCACCACTTCCCCCAAGTCATACCAGAYCACTCCAAGGAGGGAGACACAAGAGCAAATAAAAAAAAATACCCTGAAATTTTCTGCTTTTTCTTTATTGGATGATTGCTTATTGTAGAACTTTTGATTGAAAGAGCTCATACAAAGTTAATTTAGTCACTTTCTAGGTGTTTTTATTTAATGTTTCCATGGGTGAAGTGAAGGCCTGATGCTTCCTAYCCTGATATCTTGATGATGTATGAGTCTTCCTTACTTCACCTGTAAAATGCATCTGCATCTCTGTGAATGCTGTGAATCTCTAATCTAGTGGCAGAAAAACTCTGATAGCAAAGTTCATTTCCACCTGTTCACCTTAAATGAGACCAGGATAATAGTAGCTACTAATAGTAGCTACTCTGTTCCCTCCCCTGAACACCCAAGGGAAGGAAGAACAGGAGGGAGCTGGCCAACAACCCATGCTGCAGAAAGTTAATACTCTGTACCACTAAATAAATAAATAAATAAATAAATAAATAAATAAATAAATAAAYAAATAAGAATAGTATGCTTAAATAAGCATTTCTTTGATTCTCAGACATAATTTCATAAATATCTGCTCTCTCATACATTCTCGATGTCAAAGTTTTACAGAGTTTTACAATTATCAAGGTCCACCACTGTCACTTTAGTCTTACCTCCTTTTCATAGAGATCAAAACCAGYTGGCATAAATTTCCATGATTTTTCTCATTTCCCAAGTTTCCACCRTGGGTTTCTTTTCACTCCCCCTGTATCACATGAAGATACGCCCACCTTTTCAAGATAAACCCCTTTACTTAGGTTCTTTCTCTGCCTCGTTGTAAATCTTAATCCATCAATTTTCCTTTTCATTCCTGAATGTTCAAAACATATTTCTTCATCTCATCAGCCTACCGAAACCTTCTATCACTCCTTATCTCACATACGTGTGCAAGCACACATACATGCATACACACACACACACACACACACACACACACACACACAATTTCTCTTCTTCTTCTTTCCACAGTCAAATAAAACAGAGTTTATCTGTTTGGTCTCCTACAGCCTTTATTTTCTCTGCTGTGTTCCCTCTACCATCATTTTCATTTCTATAACTCACTTGGTTTGTCCTATGCAGGTGAGCAGCCAAATCCTGATACTCTCATTCAYCCTGATGACTCTGGAATAGCTCAACCCTTTTCCTACACTTCTTGAAACTCTGCACTTCCCTGGCCTCTGGGCCAAGATCTGTCTACCTCTAGGGCTACAGCCTCTGTGTTCTACCAATTAYGTTCTGCCTCTGGCTCTTTTCTCTCTGTATCTTTGACCTGGGTGGGAGCTCATTTATTGACCACCATTATCTTTTATTATAATTATTATTAAGGTTGGGGCTAGGGTTACTGAGGACTTCTCTGCTGATCTTTTCTCTCTAGTTTTCTGAATCCTATTGAACATTTCTGTCTATATGTGTGAATCAACCAACACCTCTGACCCCATGCAAATCATTTTGCCCCTTCCTTGAAAATGTTTCTTCCTCCTGACATTTCTTACAGTGCCATCAGTACTGAGCAGTAAGTCATTCAATTTCAAAAGCTCAGATTTATATTTTAGATTCTTAAGTCCTTTCTTGTCCAACCTTTTCTCCCATCTGTTTGAACTTTATCATATTTTTTTTCCTCCAGATTTATCCTGGCCTTGCGTGGATTCCTCTAAATGGTAAGAAGCATCCTTCCAACAGGTCACATGATTGCTATCAACTCTCCCCTTTAATTTATGGCTTTCAAATCACTGTTCATAACATATTACCTTGATCATGCCATTCTTATCCTCAAATAATGGGAAAGACTGTCTAAAGCTTTCAAAATTCATACTCTTTACCCTGGCGGTCAAGGTCAGGCAGAACTTGACCTCAAATGATCTTTCCAGAGGGATCAACAATTATCTCTCTCTCTCTATTCAACTTTACAATGAGGTCAAACTGACTCTTTCAGGTAAGCTGAATGCACACCATGATTTCTCTTGCTTAGACCCAGAATGGTTTGCTGACCTCAACCTTCTGTCCTTTAAGATCCGATGTAAATTACTCCCTTTCATGAAGATGACCAGCAGAAGTAACCTCCCTCTTTATGGAATAGAAAAGCAAAGGCTCACTATAAGCTAGACATAGAATCCAATCAAGGACTTAGAATCAAACATTTTCAGAGTCACAGCTGATAGGTGATTTTTCTGAACATCAGTTTTCTAATCAGTAAAGGAAGCAAACATTGCCTATGTTCTAAATTGATATAAAAATTTACTTGAGACCTTGGATATTCAAATATCTCATGGAATTTTTAGTACATTTCTGTTCCTTAAAAATGACATTCGTACTGTCCCTATCCTGTATGACTTTATACTTCTTTTATGCTTCTCTTAGTCATAGTCATTTGTGATGTTTTTTATTACCTCCTATGATTATGAAATGATTATTGTGCCACAAAATAAATTTATTTTATTTTTAAAAACTGGTAACAGACTGGGGGTATAGCTCAGTGGAAGAGCACTTGTGCAGTGCTAGGTCCTGTGCCAGGTCCTAAATTCAATTCCTGATACACATACTCATACATACACACACAAAAAAAAAAATTGGCAGGCAAGAAAAGCAAATGTGGAAACATAAGGTAAGGTTGGAGTCAAGTAAAAGCCTATCAGAGTAATTTTTCATCATTGATTTCTATATGAATTAATACTTCAACAAATGCATTTTGTGAATAAATTGTAATGGATAAGGCCCATCTTTGCTTATACTTCCTGTTTCTCTCCTTCCTGTTTTTTTCCTAAGAAACTGAATTAACTTGATAAATTACAGTTTTATCTATTCAAGTAAAACCAATATACTCTTAAACCAATAAATTATTTCCAGATTCCAGAAACGGATCTGTGTCATTTACCAAAATAAGAAAGCATAAGTAATCAGTCAGTGATCAACATAGCTAATTGATGAGTTGAGGGCCCATAATAAATCACCTTCCTGATGATTAAACAGAGGGGTGGATAGTATTCTATACTGCAGAATTCCATAAAATAGTCTTTAAAAAGAGAATTCATCCTTGCTTCTCTAAGATGTGAAAGCCACAGAATCATTTGAAGAGAGAACTCTCAAGTCACCTTTGGCTCACTTTATCTTGCAGATGAGGTCACAGTTACAAGAAGGTTCAACATTTCATGACATACACACAGAATCAGAGAGAGCCTGCAATTTGTATATCTTTACACATTGGTTGACTATTGCTACAGACCTTCCCACTCTTCACTTTCCTATTCAAAACCTTTTCTGTTTCTTTCATTTTTAACAAATATTTTTCTCTGGAAAATAGTCTAATAATACATGAAAATAACATTACCGTATTGTCTCCAGTCCACAGCAGGGGGTAAGTGTCGCCACAAAATAATGTTGTTTAGATGATTTAAGTAGGAGGGTAGAGAGTGAAAACCCTTCTGATTATACCATACCTAAAAGAGAAATAATTTAATGACTCCAATGAAATTATTCTTTAAGTCTATTCTGGAGCCCAGGAATGCATGTGTCAATTAGCTTCAACAGCACCTGAATGTAGGACTCAAAGTAACGTCGTGGCGTGGCTGACAGTGAGCAGTCAATTCTAGTCTGCTAATTTTATATTTATCTCAAGCATATAATTACAGTTAAAAATAGATTAATTTTCCCCAGAACAAATGTGAATGTTGCTCTATAATTATAGTCACAGGGGGAAAAAGGAACTGAAGCCCATCATTTTTTTTCTTTCTCAGTTGGTAAGCTAATGAAATTTGACCTGCAAATTAAAATCGTGGAAGATGATCAGAAAAAATGATTACTTTCAAATTAATAACTGAATGTGGAACATTATTTCTCAAAATAAATCAAATTGAACATTTGCTGAGCATGGAGAATACAGCCACGTGCCTGTTGGATAGGAGAAAGTTAAAGGAGACAAAAAAAAGAGAAAGATGGTGTTATTAAAATTGGCATAAGTATCATAAAAAATACTGATCAAACTATCACTACCTATATTTCAAGATATCAATATTTTAATGAAAAATATATGCTTGGTCCGGAAAGCATGGTAACTTCAAGAAATATAAAGAATCAACCAGCGCATGTGGGTCTTAATTTAAGTGAATGAAGAGCTCATTTCTCTAGCCAATCCTGTCTTTTGTAACAAGCCATTTTGAAGAATTAAAGCTACCCCACAGAAAGTTAACTCACAGAAAAACTATTTAAGTTTTCCACAGAAGTTTCTCCAAAATTAAGAACCAGTCCTCGAGTCACTTGCCTGCCAACCCAAATATTCTTAAAGTGGGATCCTGAGTGATAGCTATTGTGTTGATAGGAAGAGCTGAGTAATTTAAATATTGCTCATGTCATTAAAAAAAAATCCTGCTACACAAGACAATATTCCCTAACTCTTTCTCATTCCACTTCATAAACAATTCATAAAACAGACCCCCTCATCTCTTTCACATTGCTAATTTCCTTATTCAAATATTTTCTCAGGTTCATAGAGTAATTCTTGCCCATCATCTTTTAAACTCCAAGGAGAAGGACTACAGCTTGAGAACTACTAATCATAGAACTCAGAACACTCTAAGATTTCAAGGCTAGACTAAAGAGTGTGGGATTGTACGAGATCCCCCCAAAATTCCTAAAGCAATTTAAACCTACAATTCTGCAAAGGAGAGGAAAATGTGAGTCCTTTAGTTAACACTGAACTGAGAGTATATATCACACGTCAGAAGTACGTCCACCTCTTTCACTCAACATGGGGAGAGTCTTCCAACTCTGTACCATCATCCCTTAGGGTCTCACCATTACATCACATCCCCTAAGATACACCTGAACAGATCCCATATTTCTGGAAATGATACAAATCAACAGAAATTAGACTTTGGTCAGAGTCAAGGGACAGCTAAAACCCATTGCTTTTGGATCTGAAATCTCCCACTTACCCTGCCCATGACCTTCCACCATGCAAGTCTTGGTCCCTTAGTTGATTAATTGGAGATAGAAATAGCAGAGACAATGGTAGTCTTTTGCCTTGGATCATGGGCTTTCAAATTTTGTTTCATTTGTTTGTTTTAATCTTTATTTTAAAATCAAAGTAATTTGTTTACACTTAAAAAATAACACAATACAATGGTATAGTATCTAAAGTGTAGTATCTAAAGTATCTAAAGTATTCTTTGGTGGAGTAGAACTAGGGAGACCAGAACCTGCCTTCTAGGCCTTTCTTGCCTCACCCTCTCTGGGATCTGAGGCTTGTGTTGATGGTTTAATGGCCCCAGTTCCTTACCATTCATTAATCTGCCCTCTGCCATGTGACTTTCATAATTTCCCATTCTTAACTCTGTGTTCAGCCCCACAATGGGCTTTGATCCACAGATACTGGCTGAGCTCTGAAAGCACAGGTCTGTTCGTGCAACCTTTCCTGTGCCTCTGCTACGGAGCATGGTTGGCTGACCCGCTGGAGGTAAGACACAGAGGCAGGTTGAGCACCCCACACACTCTCTAGTTCATTTCTATAATTTTATATTGCCTCACTTTTGAATATCATGGGACCTTTTCACGCCAGAAGGAAGGCTCTGTCAATCTCAACACTGTTTCCCATTCTGTACCTCCTCTCACTTTCTTAACACAGGTGATTCAGAAGTCTACCTTAAACATCTTCCTCCTGGTGACTATTTCCTTATGGAACAAAACAAATCAAGGAGATACAGCATACCTAACTGAGCCCCTCATTCTCATATCCCCCTAAAAATGATGCAAATATGCCACAGTGACCAGTTTTCAGGCTGACCTCCTAGAACTTGTGCCTGCTTGCTTTGAACCCACCAGTTATATCCCCCTGTAGGAAACCTGTTTGGGTAATACTCCACAACCAACAAAGGCACTGGCCCAGGCCCCTGCCCTACCTCTTCACTCCCTCATCTCTATGCATGTGTCCTCTGGGGCTGCAAATAATAAAATACCTGTTTTTCATCCYGTGTCTCCTCTAATTATGAAAGGGATGCTCTCCATCTTAAAGTTATTTTAAATTACAATACCAACCATCACTGCAGCTCAAGCCAACAGCCAGGTAACTACACACACATATATATATKCTCATTCCTAGACAGGAACAGTCCGACCAGGCCTAAAGGAGAAGAATCTCCCAGACCCACCAGCTAATAAATGTCTATTGTCGAGGTCTATGAAGTTGGTAATTATTGTTATACAGCATTATTGTGAGAAAAGATAACTGATAGAATAATTAGCACTGGGAGGGATATTTTTATAACAAAAACAACAGAAAGTGACAAAAAGATACATAGAGGCCGGGACAGGTGGCCTACATCTATAGTCCCAGCAAATTGTAATGCCAGTGACTCAGGAGAATGAGGAAGGAGGATCACAAATCCAGGTCAATCCAGGTAACTGAGGTTAATCCAGGTAACTGAGTGAGACCCTGATTCAAAATTAAAAACAAAAAAGAACTGCAGGAGTAGCTCAATGGTAAAGTGCCAGGAACAAAAAAATTTTWAAAAAATTAAAAAATAAAAACACTTCAAGGAGTTTGGAAATAGACGAGAAAACCTATAGGAATGATTGGAAAACAAGTGGCAAGAAAACTTCTTCAAATAAATGACAGTAAAAGCCTAAAGTGGTCCCTATTATATAGTATCAAAGCATTTGGTAAAATTGTCACCTATGAAAACTTTGAAAATAGGAGATAGAAATTATGCCCCAAAAAACTGGATTGGAGATTTCTAGGCAAAATGTTGAAATATATGGCTTCAGAATAAAGATTAAGGGTATGGCTGTGAGGACCTTGTTTAAGACCATAAAAAAATAATGGTGCTTAAGGATCGTCTCAGGGGACCAAAAGGGCCTGGAACTTCAGAGGTATTGCTCCCTAGTACCCTGATATTGCCCAATTTCATTTTAGAAAGAGCAGCCTGTTTCAACAAGAATCAAGGAAGTGGCTTGTGGACCTTAATTAAATAAATATAAGAGGCCTAGAGTGCTCTGCAGGGAGTAATACCCCTGACCCAACAAAGAAATACCATCAGGCTAGACTCAAAGTAAAAAGGCAAACAGGCCCTAGAGTCCAGCTTCCTACAGGCAAGATGAAACCTTGCTCAAAGGCATAGTTACAAATATCCTCTTCACATGTAGTCCTGGAGGGAGATGGAGAGAAAGCATTTGGCAGGGAGTAGAGGTTAGGGTGACAGTGACAGACTGAAGAAGAGTGTCAGGAAGCAGAACCAGAGACCAGCTAAGGATCATCTCACAGCTGGGACTCCAAGGCCCTGCCAAGAAAGCTCACAGCAGCCCAACCCAATAAGCACAAGTATGCTGCTGATGGTTTGTGGCTGTTTATAGCATCATTTTGGCAATAAATGATTGATTCACAGAGTTTCAAGGAAACAGGCTTAACACGTTCTTGAGACCCTGTATCAGTTCTTCTCTATACTGACTTTACTTGAGAGTGCTTTTCTAAATTCTTTRAGCAATGCATACTGTCTGGTGAACTTAAAATTAGCATGTAGGATTTGGCCTCATTCAATGAAAGAGCTTTTCTTGCTTTTTTTCTTTTTTCCTCTAAAGAACAGTTTTCTAAAATTGGACTGTGTTCTGAAAATAAGTTGTTGGATTTCCTTCCCTGCTGGTCCCTACATCAGGTAGTGATAATGTCTAATGAGTGAAATAGGAAGTTAATCTGCTTTTAGGAACATATTATGCCACCTCAAAGTAGACCTTTCATTGCAAGAGTCCTGAGCAATGGCTCCTCAGAAAAGTAACTAAGCAGAAATAAGAAAAGAAAATCACTCAGAAGATATTCACATGCAAAATTCCAAGCAGAACAGAATGTATGGGGGGGAAAAAAACAAGAGAGGCAAAGTATCTGATCATTGTATGARAAGTGTATATGTTCTAAAGAGTGTTTAAATTGAATAAACTAAACATTCAGAATGTGAGTGAAAGGACTCATAACTCATGGAAAGTTTGTATGAGAGACATTCTACAGTGTAATGAATCATACATTAAGAATATTCATATGCAAATTTTCCATTTTTCCTTCAGAAGGACTGTGAAAATCATATCAACTATGTCTTACTAATATAGCCGAGAGTCTGAAGGAAAAGGCTGGCTGGTCATTAATTAATGTAATCATTTGATAGGTCATCAGCCACCACCAGCATCCAGTGAGTTTTTCAGATAACAGACTACCCTTCACACCTCTCTGCAATATCAGTTCCTTGCCCTCCTGGAAAAGAAGCTCATTCCCCAAAGAGACAGATACAATTCACTTGCATGCTTGTGCCTGGCAAAAAAAAAAAAAAAAAAAAAAACATGTCAAACAATGAAAACTCCAGAAGTTGCCATTCAAGCATGCCGGGTGCAGGAAAAACAATCAAAACAATGTGAGACAGAACAGGTGTCAGGGAAACACATGGATGAGTGGCCCCTGAGCACCTAAATGCAAAGACACAACCACCCACTATAAATAAAGAGGGTCTGGATTTGGAGAGAATAGAAAGCAAAAATATTCTTAGAGGAAAGAAACAGATTCCTTCTACAAATCAGGCACGTTTTAATATTGGCTGCACATTTTCCAGTCTATGCCAGCAAATGTATTTCAGGRTGTCTATCAAGCTATGAATGATATTTTCACACCAAGCTATAAATCTCCTCACGTATGTTGACTTTAAAAACGGTTGGGGAGGGGGAAAGATCTGAACAAACCTTGCTGAAGAAGAGATTTTTGAACTGTCCACACTATGACGTGGAATTTTCTTCAGGGATTATATTTAAAGTGTGGACTGTTAACATTTTCATCAGGAATGACACTGTGAAGTACAAGTGAGGAGTCTTTATTCTCCTGAGGGAACTTTCCCATGCACAGGTCCTAATATGGATTAACTTTTCCAGGTTCCATATTTCCAGGTTAATCCATATTAGGACCTGTGCATGGAAAGATACCTGGAGGGTATCTTCTGGGAAGATCATCAGTTTCATTAATTCTACGTTAAGGTGAAGTGCAGATGAGATACCCACATGATAGAAATGAACAACTCTTGGTCATTTCCACACTGATGTCCTAACACGACTGACAAGCATTCTCTTACAGTGGACATACTTTCCTCCCACAATCTACTTTTTTTTCCAATTTCTCTCTCAGTAGAACACCAAACTATTTCCCCAGTTGTGGAGGCCAAAACAAATTCTTTCAGCTTTCCCCAGTTCAAGATTGTGTTGATTTTTTTCCCTTGCAAAAATCTGTAGTATTAATTAATTCTGCATTGCTATTGGTAGATAAAAGCAGGTTCCTCTATATACCAGTTTCCTCACACCTGACAAATCTTGCTACCTGTTTTCTGTAATTACAAAAAAAAAAAAACTATACCTAATTAATAGGATACTCCTCCCAGGGCTTGAAAATCTGGGGGTCCTGTGAGCTTTCCTGTGTATTTTCTGATTTCTCAATGTCACCTCTGTGTCCATCAGCCTTTTGGAATATAAGGAATTAAAGTGAATGCATAAAGAATTTTTGGGGGGCCACTGGGGACAGTAGTGACATTTGTACTTATCACACCTATGATAACTTTAAAAATAGATTATCTTTCCACTTGTTTTGGTCTTATTAGATGAAGTCCTGACAACAAAAGCAGGAACCTATTTGCTCTATTTTCACACAATCTAAAGCACAAAATTTCATTTCCTCTTTCAAGGAAATGTTTACATACAACTATTCTTACTCATATAAAGCATTAGKATTTGATCCAGCCCCTACTATTTCATTCTCAAAAATCTATTTGGATTTTTAATTTTCCTAAATACTTTCTAAAGTTGGAAGGAAAAAAAAATTACCTTTGCCAGAGTTCTTGGGCTCGACTTGTTTGCATTCACATCTTGAATTTCACTGGGGTCTTGTACTCCAAAAGACCAGCCTCCAAGTCTGTTAACAGTAAACATGGTGTTAGTGCTCCAATCAGTGGGCACTAGGACTTCTACCCAGAGGGTGTGTAGTTACCAACCACACTAGGACTTCTACCCAGAGGGTGTTTAGCGGTCTTAGGACTATGGCCAGCTAAACATCTCTGATCTGCAGAATGACCAACCACACAGCACATGCTTGCAGAAGTGACTACCCAATTCCAGCATCCAAGGAGGCCACTGCTTATGGAGTAGAACTAGATTAGCAAGTACAACTAATATAAATAACTAATATAATATAATGTAATATAACTAATATAATATAACTCAGAACTTACCACCTTGCTAGGAAATGCCATGCAAGCACATGGTGTGATCATAAGCAATTTATTTTAATCAAGGTCATTTCCTCAAAAATCACACTATTTAAGATTATCTGGACCATCATGATAGTGCAGCCACCCTGGTTTGACCACCCTACTCTGCTCCTCTCATTCACCACTCATATCTCACCTGGGTCAAGAAGGCATCTGAATACAAGAGTTGAGTGAGATGTTCCTCCTTGAATTCTCCCAGTACCCTACATTCCCATATATTGTAACAATTACCACCCTTGTTGTTAATCTTCTACTTACTAGCTTATCTTTCATGTAGCTCTGTGAGCTTTTCCTAGRTAGAAATTATAGATTTAGTTTCTGTTATCTCCAGGGATGCATGGTATCTGGCATTTATTAAACTTTYGAACATAATTGACATTAGAAATAAAGGCACGTATTAAATGCTGTCCCCCACTCTCTAGATAGAAGGAGATTGGAGAACAGTCCTATACATGGTAACTCTACTTGCTACAAAAATTGAGGCAAAGGAATAGGAATGCACTCCTACCTGGCTCAGTTAAACTCACTCATTCATTCAACAGATACTCACTGAGCACCTTTGAGGTGCCAGATACTATTCTGGGCACCAAAGATCCTACCATTAAAAAATTAACCATCAGGGCTAAAAAAGGAAGCTGGAGGTTATAGGACATTTTTATGGATGCTAGAAAGTGGGGAAACAGGAGAGACACCGTTAAAACACATTGGGGTAGAAAAGGTTGATGTTCAGAAGGATGAGGATATGCTGACCTGACAAGGACAAAGAGGAGACAGAGGGCCTTAGGTATCTCAGGCAACATGGACCATCTATGGGATGCCTATCTAAATGAAACAATGCATTATATTTGGCAGGCTCAGGAAATTTGACAGTGAGGTGAATGCTTCTGAGATTTTAAAACAAAACTTCTTATTCATTTCTRCCCTCCATCCCTTTCTCTGAATTCACCTCCTCAGGCTCAAGGAAAATCAGCACAAAGCAAAAGCTTTACTCAAAATCACCCAAAGGAATTTTAAGATGCCATTTGTACCCCGGTGCCCATACTAGATGTGGCAAAGTATAGGGAATTCTAAAAAGAGGCCATTATTTCATTATGCTGTTAACTCATCTGCTTGAATTCCCTAAAGCAGTAAAACTGCTTCTGGCTCCCCAGCCTCTACCACTGATGGAATCTCAATTGAAATAATTTCCTCCAATGCTTCAAAGACTGAAAGCCAGCAGTGAGGAATCTGATTAAGGCCCACAGCATATCCTTGGAATTTTTATGAACACCAAGGTGAGTATTAGACTTCTGAGAGTTCATGAACATTAGCATTTGAAACAATAGGTTCTCCAAAGCACAGTTGGCACTCTATAACCTTGGGTCCTACAATCATGGGTTCAACCAACCAAGATAGAAAACACACAGGAAAAAAAATTCTATATACTAAACATATGCAGACTTCTGTTTCTTGTCATTATTTCCTAAACAGTACAGTATAACAACTATTTAGGCAGCATTCACATTGTATCAGTTCTAAGTAATCTAGATATTTAAAGTATTAAAAAGGACATATGCAGGTCATATACAGGTACTATGCCATTTTATATAGGGGACTTGAGCTTCTGCAAGCTTTGGCATCCTTGGGGCTGCAGGAATCAATTCCCAATATGTAAGGAGCAGGACTATAATTCAAAGACAATAGAAAAGATAGAGGGACAGTTGTAACACACCTTGGATTCTCAGATGGCATCAGCAAGTACTGCTCCACATTGAAGCCTGAGAGATTGAGCAGGGTGTGGCCCAGGCAGTTGGTCAGGTAAGGAGCCCCAGCACTTCCATTTGGACACTTCTGTAATAGTTTTCAAAGGATAAAATAGAAATGTTTCCATAACCCACAAAACAATTTACCATCATTGCTTTAAAGGAAATGTGATTTTTTTTTGTCTTTTGGTTTTTAATCAATTATCTTCAGCCTTTTATACATTCTGACTTCTAAAATCTCTTTAAGAGTCTCCTATATTTGAGAATTGTGCCAGAATTCCACTGCAACCTATGCAGTCAATTATATCTGAGAACTTCAAATCCTTTTCTGCATGTAAGTTTGAGCAGATTTGTAAGAACTAAAAAGAGAGAAATGTTTTCACTGGGGTGATCTTGTGTTTGATGAACCTGAAAGAGAGTCARAGGTAACTAGTGGGAGGGAGATAAGCAGGAGAATTCAAAGGCATGTGCTTCTTTCATAAGTGTCTAAAGTAGAATTCAAACAGCTCTTTCCTGGCAGCTGACTAGAGTGCTAGAACCACGTCTGAATCAAGAAATGACCACCAAACGAGGTGGGAGTCAGTGGTCACAGCTACGCACCTGACCTCAGACAAGTTCAGACTATATGGATATGGACGTTGCTTCTAATTTGGGAGATAATAATTCAATGGAAATAGGAAATGACCGACTCTAAGCCTTTCATTCCAGATTTGGAAACTTGTTTTCTTATTTGCAAAATGGAAATAAAAACAGCCCTACCTGTGCATGGGTTTGTCATTACATTCAGAAATGCACAAAAGAACTATGAAAAAGTAAGAAGGGTTGTATATGCTCAGGATATTTCTCTTAAGTTCTTGATGTCAAGGCTTGAGGAAAGACACTAAGAAGAAGAATTGTTGTAAGTTGTTGTTCAGCCAAATTCTCACTCATATGTTAAATCTAAAAAGGTTGCCGTTAAACAGATAGGGGGTACAATGGTGGTTTCCAGAGACTGGAGGAGGGAACAAGTGGGAAATGGAAGGATATTGGTCAAAGCACGCAAAACTTAAACAAGAGGAATGCATTTAAGAGACCTAGTGCACAATATGGGGACTACAGCTGAGAACAATAGACTGCATACTTGAAAAATGCTGGAGAATAGATTTTAATTGTTCTCACCTGAAAAAAAAAAAAACAGGAAAAGTGATACACTGTGGAATGGCTAAGTCAATCTATTTAATTATGCATTCTTTCAAGAATAGCTCAACTTAGGGCTGGGGATGTGGCTCAAGCGGTAGCGAGCTCGCCTGGCATGCGTGCGGCCCGGGTTCGATCCTCAGCACCACATACCAACAAAAGATGTTGTGTCAGCCAAGAACTAAAAAATAAATATTAAAAATTCTCTCTCTCTTTCTCTCTCTCTCTCTCCCCTCTCTCACTCTCTAAAAAAAAAAAAAAAAGAATAGCTCAACTTAGCCATTCCACAATATATACATACATCAAAACATCATGTTCTACACCACAAATACACACAACCTCTACCTGCCAATTAAACTAGAATGTAGAGCTACATAATTCRGCCAAACTCGATTACCTAACTCACAGATTGACATGATAATCTTTAAGGTGACCATGAGACAGATTGGCATCATGTGGCCACAAGACAATGAATGACAGAATCCCATAGGAACTGAAAGAGTGAAGAAACATATTCTCCTTTCCAGCCTTTCAAGGGAGCACCTTGACTTCAGAATTCAGACTGAAATAATACTGGTACTGATCTCAGAGTTCTGGTCTCCAGAACTGTGTGAGAATAAATCTCTCTCTCTCTCTCTCTCTCTCTCTGTGTGTGTGTGTGGGGGGGGGGGGTTCAGTAACCCTGTGGATTTAACATTTGTTACAGTAGCCACAGGTAACAAATGCCCCCTCCTCTCACCACGTATAAGGCCATATACATTCTTGACTGTATGTAGCTGTTCGTATGGTTGCTGTTATTCATAAGAGTGAGAGTCCTAAAACTTCCTGAATATTCTTCAGAGCTTGCTCAGTTCACATTCACTGGTAGTCTTCCTAGTGGTGTCTTTTCCAAATAATGAGAACAACATGTACCCATGGAACATTTTTGTGAGTTTAGAAGAGCCATGATACATTGAAATGTGAGGAAACAGACACATCCTTGTGGACCCAGGACTTTTGGATGGCACACATAAATTTAAAGGAGAGAATTATTTTTCCCTCTACCAAAGAAAGTTAACTTGGCTTAACATGATCACTAAGGATCTGAGAACAGACCTTGGATGTGGGCCACCTTTCATGTACTTTCATGAGTATTTCTTTGGAACCAACCCCAAGGAGCAACACTCTTTCCTTGGGGCCTTTATTATTCTCACCTGAACTCCTTTTCTGTTGAGGTACTTTGATTTCTAATCAATTGACCAGTGTTTCTCAAAGTGTGACTCAAAAAATAGAAACAAACAAACAAACAAACAAAAATGGCTGGCAAACACACACACAAAAAAAATTAGTTAAATAATTTGCAGACTATACTGCACTTCTTTTTCCTATTGCCAATTCAAACCCACATTGTTATAGCTTACTGAAGAGCTATAGCAAACAGACCTGCCTTAACCAGAACTTCCAAAACCTTAATATTGATTTAACTAGCACTTCCAAACCTTATTTGGCTATGAAACTTTTTCAGATGAAACCTCTCATTCTTACATACATTTTGCTAAAATCTTGCAGCTCATGTGAATGGGAATGAATTTATATTTTGAGGCTTATACAAATAAGCCCCTAATATTTATTCATTTATCCTTTAATCATTAACACCCAATCCAATTCCAATAAACTTTGGGTAAGCTGGTTAAAAAAAAAAAAAAAAAACAACTACTGATACAATAGAATGATTAAATCAAGAGAATAAGTGCATGGTGTGAAACATTAGAAGTATTATGAGTGCATGAAAGAGACAACAGAGAAAGGCAAATAATTATGGAAAAAAATGTGAGCAAAAAATAGCTGGGCTAGCTGGTTACTACAAAGGGACACCAAACATAGCTGACCTTTTTGACCATAAAACCAAAAGGAACCATGGAGAAGTCTATTAGCCCACTCAGGTCCACCAACACTTAGAGTATCCATTATGGGAACTGAGTCACTGCTCTTCTCTTGCTTTGTTTAAGAGAAGAAAGCTGAACAAGCCCTCTAAAGGCAAACTTTTTTAAGTCACCAAACTGTTAAGAAGAATTCATCTGTGGGCCATTACATAGAAAAGCCTGAAACCATGTTCTCCACTCAATGAAGATTTTTTTTTTCTTTTCCTTTTTTTTTTCAGGTAAATCAGGATTGCCACATTCTCTTGTTAACTGTGGATAACAGGTCTATGCCTTTTATTAATCAGATTTTGAGGTCTCCTTTGAGATGAGTCCCAATTCATTTTCCAAATAAATTTCAATTTGTTCTTCTTCAGACTAGGGAGCTATGGGCCTTCACATCAATAGTGGAACATCTAATTCCATTTGTTTTTGTGTAAATCAACCATATTAGAAATGCTAAGTGGTCTCTTCATTTTTAATATCTAGCTCTCAAAAATCAGATTAAAAATATGATGACAGCCTTGATGTCCTCGAGCCTTGAAATGTGGGGAAATAACCCCACAAGGGGCTATTCTGGGTTTCATTAATAACTAAAGAAGATTTGCTGGCTTAATAAGTGCCTGTGGGGATGTTCAGGACCAAGAGCAGTGGGCAGTGAGTAAGGGGAAAGGGTTGATTCTATTTAAGTGTCAGATGAACAGCCAATCATGTGAACCAAAAAGTCACAGGAACTTGAATAAGGAAAATGAAGATTTTACAGATGGAGTAAGCTCATTTTTTTTTTCACTTAAGGTTTTTTATTTTAAAAAGATCAAAAAATGCAGAAACCTACCAGGCAGCCACATGAATCCTGAAACTTCAGGTGAGGGAAGGTATCCCTAGACCAGCAGGAAGAATTCTTCCTAAAGAACAAAGGAGAGAATTGGAATGATCTTTTGGATTACAAAGCTATTTTATTTCCATAAAAGAGAGTCCCGACACAGTAGAACACAGTTCACAAGATAATCACCTMCTGCTGCCGTGAAGGCAGAGCTCTGACATTTGTTTTCCCAGCGTGAGCTGCTAATCTGATGACAATGTTTTATTGCAGTGCCAGTATTTCCATTATATGACATGATGCTCACTCGGCTCCCTGTACCGTATACACTGCCAGGACTCCTGGGGCTTTCATAGGGGCTCTGGGCTTGTGGCAAATCCAGAGGCTCCCTGACTCATCCCAGGTACCCCAAAGCAATTCATAAACACAGTAAATTTCTAATCCCTTTCTTTAGAATGACTCAGTAATTCAATCATCATTTACAGAAAAGCAGATTTTACAAATTTTACTTTGGAGAAAGAGTGTGCAACAGAAGCAGTTATAAAAACAACAGTGGTTCAAACATTTTTTTTTSTAATCCAGTTTCCCTGTAACTTGTTACCTTTGAGGGTTCCAGACTTGAAAATTTTTTTCTAAGATTTGCAAATCAAAATTTACTTTAGTAATAATTTTTTTTTCTTATTACTCAAAAATTGGGCAACTGAATTATGGGCACTGGCTAGATATCTTTACCAAATTTTTCTTAGCCCCACTTTTTGGAAGAATAAGTGGACTCCTGAAAGGTTAAGCAGCTGACCCAAGATCACATAMATAGCAGAAGGACTGGCCGGCTGAGCACCAAGCTCAGGCTTTCTGTCCAGATGAGTTGCTATCACAAGAGAAACTCAGTATGAAAATGACAAGTTGGAAAAATACAGGCCATGAAAGGAAAGTTGACATTTCTAATAGCTAGGTTAGTAAAGTACAATTTCCAGGTAACTTTTGAAATATTAAAATTAATTTGAAGACTTCTCTACTGCTACTTCCTTGACTGATTAGTTTATGGGTACTTCATTTATTAGGATTAAAAGTTAATTTACAAATAATACCTAAGGGAGTTGTGTATTTAATCACACTTCTTTTTATGATAATTGTTTTTTAAAAAAATAATTCTGTTTCTATTTCTTAAACCCAGCTGGCCCTTTTTGCTTCAGATACACAACTCAGATGATGGGTAGTAAATACTATGGATTGGAAGTTAGGTCCCCAGCATGATGGTATTGGGAGGTAGTGGAACTTTTAAAAGTGAGAACTGGTGGGATATAATGTGATCACTGGGGACACCAACCTTGGAATGGATTGATGTAGTTCTGAAGGAACTCCAGTTAGATCCTAAAAGGGCAAATCTTTTAAAACCAGATCCCCAAATCTCCTTGTTTCCTCTTTTGTCACATGATCTCTTCTATAGGCACTCCTTCCATTGTGATGCCATTGCCAGAAGCTCTCACCAGAGCCAACAGATGCTAGCAGTATACTTTTGAAGCTTTAGAAATGTGAGCTAAATAAACCTCTTTTCTTTATAAAGTATGCAGGCTTGGGTGTTTAATGATAGCAACAGAAAACAGACTAATAGAGCAAATGTGCATGATTTAATGAATTGCTTCAAGTGGTCAGCCCTCTTCTTCTTTACCAATTCTTACATTATTCTTCCCCTAGCTCCCTAGGAAGCTGTGTGAGAATTCATAAGAGGGTACACAGGCGGCAGATTCAGGGTCACTCCTTGTGAATTGGGCTGGCAGCTAAAAGACCACACAAACACAGAAATGCCTTTTGCAGGGGTCAGGGAAGGCTCTGGGACCTCAGGTGTGAGCTCCCACACTGGGGAGCAAGGGGAGCAAGGAAGGYAAGAAGCAAGAGGGAGAGCACATCCCGAACCCTTATATTTACTGGGGGAAAGACGGTCAGTAGAATATTCCACCCAAATAAGGCAAGGGATTGTGTTACAACAAATGGGGCAGGGGGCGTGTAGCCCAGTCCCATTAGGTGACACCCCATTCCCAGAGCTGCACTTCCTTGCTGAGCAAAGGTAAGACCCASTTGCTTCTCACTGTGTGTGATGCCAGTTCCATACCCCCATTACTCAAGGCTAAGGGGGCGTGCTCAGCTCCTGTTCAGGGTGGCCCCCACAAGAGGGACAGGCAGCAGGGATGATATATTGGAATTAGATGCTTCTATGTAAATTTCCTTGTTGATTTTAGGAATCTAAACACACATTTAAAGCATTTGCCCAACACATTCTATAGAACACACCTACAGTGAAGATATTCCATAATAAATGCCTTGGTCCCTAAGGTTTGGAAATGCTGGATTAAATAGTTCTTTCTAACACAGGACTGCCTAAAGTTTTTAACAGCCTAGAATGCATTTTAAATATCTATAGAGAGGCAGATGCTATAAGGACAGCCTCTCAATAGTAGTGTTCTGAGACTAAAGAATACAAAAGCATTCTACAGCGGGGCGTAGAGACACATGCCTGTAATCCCAGCAACTTGGGAGGCTGAGACAGGAGAATCACAAGTTCAAGGCCAGCCTTAGCAATCTACCAAGGCCCTAAGCAAGTTAGTGAGACCCTGTTTCAAAAAAATAAAATAAAATGAGTTGAGAATGTGGCTCAGTGATTAAGCAACCCCAGGTTCAATCCCTGGTACCGAAAAACAAAACACAAAGAAGCACTCCACAGAAGTTACCCAGGTGTTTGAGGTGGGTGCTGTTCTTCCTATAGAGGTAGAAGAACATGAATGCCAACAGAGGCACATAAAAGGTTCAGTTAGATGCCCAGGTCACATGGCTAATAAGTGGTGGAGGTGAGAATTAGTTTGAGGCCAACCCAKTCCCAGTTATGTGTTTTCCACCCGAACCTTTGATACCTAACATGCATTTGATGCTTATGACCTTTGACCTCCTTTCCCAACTTTACAAACACCTCAGAGGGGACCTGTCAGCATCCATGCCAGGCTCTAAGGATGCCATCTCTCCTAGGCGTTYGCAGGCCAACAAGCCTCCTAGATAGTCCTGGGCACTGGAGATATCAGGCCAATGAGTTAATCTGCCACATTTCTGCAATCTAATCATGGTAATGGCTTTCTTCAATTTATGATAATAAATTTACACATCTTACACATCTCCCCAATTGCCGACTAGCACATTTGTTTCATATTAAAACTCTAACAAGAACGGGTATGGAAAGTGATCATTTTGCCTCAGAAATAGTAGGGGAATTTATCATCAGAGTGCCACCTGATATGAGCCTTGTAAAATGAAATAGATTATGTATATCTAGCATTCTACTTCTAAAAATYGTCAACTTAAAAACATTTTAAAATTTAAATTATGTGCCATTGATTATCATGAGTAAAAAAAAGTATTTTAGGTCAGATTTACACCATAATTAGTTTTTCTGGAACTCTTTACTAACCTCTGTGGCGGGGGCGGAGGGGGGGGGGCGGAGAATGAAAGTCTCTGTTCAACCTAAGAATTTTGCATATGATTCTCAGTGCTGAGCCTCTCAACAGAAAAGCAATCCATAAGCAGAGTCTATCTGTTATTTCAGAATGTTTCCCTTTTTAATGATAAAGTGCTGGCTAAAGTCTGCTAGGAACATAAAAATGTAGATATCACTGAATCCAATAATATTTTATTCTTACACAAAGAAATTTACTGAAAAAAAAAAAGCTTTTTGCTTTGATTTGGGACCTCAGTGAATCAAACACTATCTGTGTAACATGGACATAAATTATTATTACTGTAAGTATTCAAAGCATCCTCAAATGCCAGAGCCCCCTGGGCTCAAAGCTTTTGCTATGCTAACCAGCGAAATGGGTAGAAACCGTTATAGGTAGAAATGAGTTAAGGACAGATACATGAAATTCACAAAGAAAAGACAGAAAGTAACATAAACCCCAAAAGGCAGAAGAGAGGGCAGGGGATACAGCGTGAGGGTGGTGTGCAGGCTGGGCTGAGGGACAGCACTCTGGGACAGAGAGGCAGGCCAAGAGTTTAGAGGACTACTGCGATGTTTGCAAAGTAACTGGAAGCTAAATCGATGTCCAAACAGAATTGTGAATATGTTCTGCTGTCCTTGAAGCATTTATTCCACCTTTTAATTTTCTCCTGAGAGATTAAATGAAATAAACATCTTTTTCTTTTCTCTACTAACTGGTCTTTCTTTGATGCCCCGTTGGGCCAAGTTTGGATCATGTGAGACCCCAGGTTATTTCAATTTCCCAAAACACAGATGTATTTTATATCCTGCGTGTTTCATTAAAGGAAAGAAAAATCAAAACATCACCACTAAAGCCCTAGATAAATAAATTACTTTGTTTTTCAAGAGAAGACTAAAGTGAAGCAACATAATTAATTTTCTATTAATTCTTCCATACTGAGACCATTAATAGTTATTCAGTCTCAAGCTAATTACCAATATGACTAATGGGCCAAATGTGTCATCACAAATTAGAAAACATACTGCAGATACTGCATTCTTGTCTAGATGTCTGTATTTATTACTTTAAAAATACACTTCTAGCATTCAATGTACCATTATGGTTTTTATTGCTTGCCTCATTTGTTCTATCCAGAATTGTAAATTCCTTGAGACCAGGGCCATATTCTTTATTAATCTCAGTTCTTGTGGCAGTAGTTTATTTATAGCCATTCTTCAATAATTAAAATTTCAGAAAAATAAGATTGAAAGAACTGTTTATGAAGAAAGGCATACTTTGTCAAGGTTTTATATGAAAGTCATCTCTATATTATTTTCAAATAGTACAAAAATTATCTTTAAAGTAATTCATGCACTGATATACTGAGCTTTTTGTTTTAAATGTTTTTAAATTTTTAATTGACACCTAATAAATACACATATTTATGATGTATGGTGTCATATTTAGTACGTGTATACAATGTATAATGATCAGATCAGGACAATTATTATATCCATCATCTAAAACATTTATTGTTTCTTTGTGTTGTGAACAATCAAAATACTCTATTGGCTATTTTGAAATATTCAATTAATTATTGTTAATCATAACATTGGAAGTTATTCTTTGTACCCAACTTCACCCTGTACCCATTGACCATCCTCTTTCCTCCCTCCTCTCCACCCTTCCTAGGCTTGGTTACCTTTATTCTACTCTCTACTTCTATGATATGGAATCTACATAGGTTTCAATCAGTGGATTAATGGATAAATAAAATGTGGTGTATGTATACCCTATGGAATATTATTCAGCAACCTTTATGGAAATAGAGRACATTGCATTGAAGTGAAATAAGTCAGGCAGAAACAGACAATTGCCACACATTCTCATTTACATGTGTACTGACCTTGTAAGTCTCTTATTTAAAAAGAAATATGTAATTAATTTTCGTATGTAAAAGTTTTCCCTAARAGTACATAATGGTTAACATATAATTCATACTTAGTTGCTACTTCATTCTTTTTTTAGCTTTGGATTTTATTAAGTGAACTGAATGCTATTAATTTTTTTTAGTTGTAGATGGACACAATACATTTATTTTATTTATTTATTTTTATGTGGTATTCAGGATTGAACCCAGTGCTTCACACATGGCAGGCAAGTGCTCTACCATTGAGCCACAACCCCAGCCTCTGAAAGCTATTAATTTTTGACATAATACAAATCATGTGTCTATGAAGTAGAGATGGCATTTTCAGTAACCTACTCATTAGGCTAACATTCTATTCATGTAATGCAATATAAATTTCTAACATTAAATACCAAACTTGAAGGGAAAGGGTCCTTCCAGGTTATGGTATTGCTGGCTGGAAACTTTACTTTTGCAGAGGGCACATGATACTTACAGATCTAGGTTTAAGTCAGCACAGAGAGGATCCTGATCTCTAAACTTCCGTAAGAGCACATGGGTGAGGTCCATATTGTCATTCCCACTGCTATTTGTGGTAAGACAGGGGAGATAAAATGGAATTGTTAGTGGCTCCCAACAGAAAGCAAAGAATCACATTCTGATCTCAAAATGTACCCTAGTCAAGCTGATCCAAGCAAATGAGCCCTAGTTTCTCAGATAAAACTATTTTTCTAGTGTTTTTATGGTAAGACCCAAACGAGCAAAAATAAAATTGAGAAATTTCTTCAAAGCACATCCTTGCCACCACAGACATGCATTTTTATATACTTGTATCCACACTGTATTATTTTCTCATTTTTTGCTTAATTTTATAATGTAACCATTTTTCACACTTTKCATGGATTTAAAAACAAACTTTAGAGGCTGTATAATATTACATTATGTTAATATATTAAAATGGCTAACACTGTTCTCTTAATGTTGGCACTCTGGTTTGGGCTGATTATTTGTCCTATTACAGAGCCCCACAATAAAACCACTTCTATGTTTCAACCTTTTGTTTCTATCTGTGAACTATAGTGAACTGCATTTTCTTAGCAAGAGGTCTTCAGCACAGAATCCTMTGCGGCTTTAAGTAAACTTTGAGTTATAGTATTTATTTTGCTGGCGTAAGTCTCAAAAGTCAATAAAGAGCTCAAGCAACATTACCAAAACCAAGGTCACCAACTTTGACTTGCTTTACTGAAAAGACCATCAGCAAAAAGACATTCATGTAGCTTTGGGGGARATGTAGAAACAAATGCTATATTAAACTTTATACATCAACTTTAAGAAAATTCTTGAAGAAGAAATGTGGAGAAAAAGATATTTCACACAAGTTTAAATTTGACTGACTCATTGGGAATGGGGATCATTACAAACAATTAAAATTCTAAATTGTAATATTTATGAAAGAACATAGATTTATTACTCTCCAGAACTTACACTATGTAACTTACAAATTATTTTTGAATGCACATTTTTAAGAGCACTCATCCCCAAAAGAAAGAAGAATGATGTATAATTAACACTATTGATAGCATATATAAACAGTGCTCCAAATCACTTGGGAAAGAATTAGTGTATAAATTAAAAAATGTATATGAGTATATAGTGGTTTCCTCCAAATAATCTATAATATTGATTTCTTTTAAGAAAGACTAAACTTAAAGGAGACCTCAATCACAAATTTTTGTCATTTGTTGATTTTGTTCATGGACAATGCAAAGTGGACTCTTCAGACTAAGGGGATCAGTGGGTAGGAGGAGGTGAGGTTTCAAGGGGAGACACTGATTATTGACATTGACCAAATTATGTGAAGTGCATGTATGAATATGTCACAATGAGCTGCCTTATTCTGTATAATTATTACGTACTAATTTTTTCAATAATTGCCACTTAATTATATTTCTGAATTGCTATAAGCATTAAATGTAGGGAGGTCTAAGTTAATTAGACTTATTGCACCACTGTGTCCCACAGTGCAAGCCAAGAATGAGAAGACACTTCCCTATTTGTGCCATGGGAACTCACATAGATTTGGGGACTTTCTAGATTTCCAGTTTCCCTAATTCCTTCCTTGCTTTCTCTAATGTACAAATTTGATATTCTCTCTGCTCAAAATTTATCATRTGATCCAGTATCCCACTTGTGCATATATATCTAAAGAAAATGACGTCAGCATAGCAAAGATATATCTGCAGGCCCATATTATTGCAGCATCATTCACAATAGCTAAGATATGGAATCAACTTAGGTGCCAATAACAGATGAACAGAYAAAGGAAATGTAGTATYTATACACAGCCGAATAGTATTTAGCCCTAAAGAAAAATAACATCACCTCATTTGTAGCAAAACAGATGGATCTGGAGGTCATTATTAATGAGATAAGCCAGACACAGAAAGACAAGCTCTGAATATATTCTCTCATATGTGGACACTAAAACAGTCAACATTAAAGTAGATAAGTGATTACTAAAGGTTATGAAGGGTATGGGGGAATGATGGATAAAGGGAGTCTCAATTTATTTAGTGTACCCTGCACCCATCTGTTAAAATATACCACATAGAACTTCATTAATATCATAGATATGCRTGTCATCAAAACTAAAATAATTTATATATAAAATTTATCAACATCTCCTTTTTTTAAACTTTATTTTATTATATTTTATTTGTGTGGTGCTGGGGTTGAACCCAGGGCTCCACATGTATTAGGCAAGCACTTTATCACAGAACCACAACCCGGGCCCCTCCATGTCTCCTCTTCATTTGTGAGCCTGGAAACAGTGTTGAACCCTTCCACATGGTGTTTGCCCTCCACAGTCTTCAGGCTTGGATACCCCAGACCTATTCCTAGAAGGCAGCACCCAACTGCAACCTATCTCCTAGAAGACAGCACCCAATTGCAACCACTTAGATCATGTGGATTTGCTTTCTAAGTTCCAATCCCTTCAAGTCACTCTTCTAAGCTTCCTGGTTACGTGACCAGAAACCATCGCTAGCCCAGAAGCCTCAGCTCCAACACTGTTCCCACTGTGACTCCCAGCCTCATCCCTGCCTCCTTCCCAATAGCCCCGACCTGCCTGCACTCTCTCCCTCCTTCCCAGTAGCCCTGATGCACATCTTTACTGGACTTTAATGGTAGCCCTCTTGTTACTGAAACAAAACAATCCTGGAAAAGAAGGGCTTGGTGCTTAGGACAGGAGCTGGACCTCGGTATGTTCTCAGAGATAGTTTGTTCAACACATTGTGACATATCATTAATATAAGGAAATTATTGACCAAAACAGTCATCCTGTCTGAATATTTAATTTMCCTATATCTGTCTTTCCCTGAACTCTTACCATTTAAACAGGAACAAAATTCCCTGGAAGAGAAACTAAAACTCATTGGACCAAGTAAGAATGGTATTTCTGCTGAGGACAATGTCATTTTCAGAACATTAACAATATATAAACCAGAATGAAAACACCTCTGTAGCTCCTAAATCCAGAAGGCAATAATTATTTATAGGAAACCACCATGTTCCCTGCTGTATAAGGTACAGTAAATGTCTTAAAATATTTAGGTGGTTTACAACTGGCCTGATATGATTCCCTATTTCTGTGGTCCAAAATAAACAATGATGAAGCAGCCTGAAATGAACAACAAAGCTTTGCCCCATAAGTTGGCAGTGCACCCTCTGGACAAACATCCTTCAGTTGTCTAACACGTGAGRAAACACTTCCACAGGACAGGGACACACTCTCCACTGAAATGGAGCCCATATAAAAGGAAATGTCATTTGTGACATCTCTGGACTATTCTCCTATGACCCATCATCCAAGAACAAATAGAAAAGTTAAAACTGTCTTTCTGAAAGAAAAACATTTGATCCCTAAACTGGTTCCTTTGTATGATTACAAAAAAAAAAAATGTATAAAAGTTATGCTTTACTTTTTATTGCTCTTTGCTTAGGTCTAGAGATCACCATTTAAAGAAAACAACAAAAATTGGCTTTAAAGTATTTCATTTGCCATAAAATTCAAACACGGGCTCCTAAATTCTCTCTCTCTCTTTGGTTGCCTTCAAGCTCTTGCCTACTTGAAGTAAATCTCGGTGTTTGAAGCACTGGACATCTGTCTTTAACAGATTCTAGGGATTGAAAATTACTCCTTCCTGAGGTCGTTCATAAATGGGGACATAATTTATTGATTTCTGAGGTAGGTCATAAGGGGGTCACTTTCCCTCTCCAAATCGTTATTTCTCAACATTTGATGTACATCTTGGTGACCCAGTGAGCTTAGCAGAGCAAATGCATACTGCTGAGCACCATCCCAAAGGGCCCTCCTGATTAAAGAAAGTGCTAATGCTTCTGATGCAGATAGGATTAAACTGACTTGGCAAGTTCTAGGGTTTCTAGGAAGATAGTAATTCATGCCCTTTCTCCTTTCCTCTCCCTACTCTCAACTCCAACCTTTCTCTCTCTCCTGATCCCAGCAGCTTCTGATATTGGTAACCATCAGGTTCCAAGTGGGGTCTTAGGCTCTGTGGGAGTTACCCCAGGCAAAGTTGGTTCAGAGTCTTCTTCCCTGTAGACCAGGCAACCTATAAACACAGGTTGAAGCCAGGAGCAAAATGGCCAGGGGCAAGGATAAGCAAGTACCCTTGGGGGGAGGGTGGCTTGGGGAATGCAAATTCCCAGGTAACAGACCTCTGTCTTCTCTGATTATTTGGAGGGGGTCAATACTTTCTATTCCTGGATTAACAAGAGCACAAACAGCAGAAAGTTCTGCTACCTGCCCTGGGGGAAGCAGGAATGTACTGACAGTCATCTGCAGCTCAATAGAGGTAGAAGGTTCTTTGGCTCATCTCTCTGGGAACGACTCTAGTCAATAAATGAGACCCTTATCTGATCAAACAGCAAGGACAATCACACATCCCAGGAGTCAGAGGAAAACTCAAAAAATGCAGACTAACAAAGAAGTCACTAAAGGGATATACAACCAACCAAGCAGACAAACCAAAAGCAAAAGAACAGTAACAGGATCACATGCCTACACAGGAGTTTCTAAACTCAGGAAGAAAGACTTCCTGAAAATATTATTGAAGAAGTTAACTAAGAGGATGATCCTTGTTTAGATACAAATAGTAACACTGGAGAAATACCACAAACAGATAGTCAAAAAGAAATGGTAAAGAAATCTTGAAGTGGGGCACAGTGGCATATGACAGTAACCCCAGCAGCTAGGAGGGCCCTGAGCAACTTAATGAAAGCCCATCTCAAAATAAAAAAAAGATAAATAGGGCTGGAAATGTGGCTCAATGGGTAAGTTTCCCCGGGTTCAATTTCTGGTACAAAAGAAAAAAAAAAAAAAAAAACTTTGAGGAAAGATAAAGAACTTGAAAAATGGATCTGGAAGATCCTAACATGAGATCTTAACATGAGCCACTGTGCCCCGCTTCAGGATTTCTTTACTTTTTCTTTTTGACTATCTGTTTGTAGTATTTCTCCAGTGTTACTATTTGTATCTAATAGGAACTCAAAAAAAAAAAAAGAGGGGTGAAGAAATGTTTAAAATTATAAAAGAAGAAAATTATTCAGAACTCAAAAATACTAAATCTTCAAGTTGGCTGAGGAAATAAATTGGAAAATAAAAAATCTCCACTCTAAAAATAAAGAACAAATTATTGCAGACTGAAAAGTTGCCTATAAGAAAAAGAAAATCAAATGGACTGCTCCATGTCAGATTCCATGCCTGAAAGCTACAAGAATTATCCCAATTATATCATTTCCCAGAGTTTAAAATGTTCTTAATGCTTTCCTTCATTTTGTTTACAAAACAAAGAATCTTCTACTTAGAATGCCTCTTTCATCTGCAGGAAATATGAAGACTTGCTGGATTACTCTTCACATTTACTCACACTTCTTCCTCTAGCAAGTAAGAGAAAAGAAACTTTCTCTCTGACTTGCCTAAGAAACACATATTTATATTTGAAGATTGAGTTCAGGTGCAAAAGCCTTTAAAAACAACAAATACTTGGGAATCAACCTAACAAAAGAGGTGAAAGATTTATACAATGAAAACTACAGAACCCTAAAGAGAGAAGTAGAAGAAGATCTTAGAAGATGGAAAAATATACCCTGTTCATGGAGAGGCAGAACTAACATCATCAAAATGG